TTACACACTCCAAATACGTTCCCACACTATCGCCTCTTAATCACAATTCACTCGCTACAACTGAACTCGGCGACTGCTACAATTCAACTGACTGCTTAGTCCAAGTCCAAGTCACATTGCGACTGACGGTCAGTCAGTCTGTCTGTCTTGGTGTCGAGCCCTGACTGGGGCTCATGACCAGATTCTCTTTTTCTTATATGAAAGTTACTGTCCTGTCCATTTGGGCGCCCTCTCTGACGAGAGGTCAGGTCCGTCATTTGTCAGAACTGACTGCTTAGGCATTCCAGTTCTCTTATAAACCTTCAGCCAGAGAGTGGAAAATGCACTTCGCTTCCCTGTTGCATAATCTCTGTGTTTACATGCGTTGCTGGGCAACACTGCCGAGAGTTGTTTATTGCTATGTGCTTTGGCTCGGCTCGGAGACACACCACTTTCCTTACTGTTGCGTAACTTGGCAACCGACCGTTTATCAAAGGTCTGTCTTTGTGGTAACTCGTTCCACCTCCCGTTGCCCAACAACGGTTAGACACGTCACAATACATACATATTCAACAAAAGAAACAGTGAAAAGATAATTTATTAAACCACAAATCTGTGTTATCAAGAACTGAAGTTGTTCCCCTACTCTGAATTAGTTTCCAGCTACATATTTGCATCTGCAGTAAGCATCAAAAGGATGGAAAACTACAGACCAGTTACCTTGGGGAACCTGGATATACCTGTAGGCCAGCTAGTGTAAACAGAACACAAATTTTAATCTTTTTTATTGGTATTTTTTATGACACTTTGCATCTAAGACTATATAATGTTGAACAGTAGGATGACTGGCAAATTCTGAACGGAAAAGATTTGGAATAAAGCAGTTGTGACCTAATCAAGGTACTATCAGAGCATATGCCTGTAGGGACTTTGGGAAAACCCACAAACAAGTCTAAAATGTTACTGCTACACTGATCTCTTTGGTACAGAAACACTTGCTAGTGTAACTGTAAAGCTGTTCACTCCAAATTAACCTTTCTATTGTGCTTCAATTATCTGACCAAATATAAATATTCTTACCTGCATAAATGCAATAACATATTCTAGTAATAATCAATTCATCACAATTTTGGGTACATAAAAAAACAACTGCTACCATGACAAAAATTTAAAACCTAAGGAATGAACCAAGTTAAAGATCAGATGAACTTCATTCTCTAGTGACTACTTGCAGCTTAAGTTGTAATAAATGTGCAATGCCGAGACTGAACTCATGGGTAGTGGAAACTTAATAAATATTCAAATACAATGGAACCTCACTTAACGAGCACCTCTCATAACGAGTAATTCGCATAACGAGCGACGAGAGGGGAAGTCCCGGATTGTGTGCTTGCTACATCACTCTGTGTTTAGCACTCGTTCTGCTAGCATCTTAGCGTCGCTTGTGGTCACACATTTTTCTAAACTTGTGTTCATACATGTACATAAAAAAACAACTGCTACCATGACAAAAATTTAAAACCTAAGGAATGAACCAAGTTAAAGATCAGATGAACTTCATTCTCTAGTGACTACTTGCAGCTTAAGTTGTAATAAATGTGCAATGCCGAGACTGAACTCATGGGTAGTGGAAACTTAATAAATATTCAAATACAATGGAACCTCACTTAACGAGCACCTCTCATAACGAGTAATTCGCATAACGAGCGACGAGAGGGGAAGTCCCGGATTGTGTGCTTGCTACATCACTCTGTGTTTAGCACTCGTTCTGCTAGCATCTTAGCGTCGCTTGTGGTCACACATTTTTCTAAACTTGTGTTCAGACATATGTAGGTTGTACTGAAAGTCATGAGCAACAATTTTTTGTAAAGTAACATGCTTTATTATTGACAAACCAAATACACCACCTCAATCTACAGACCTTTCTTTATTTTTCCACATAATCGCCACTTCTTTGTACACATTTCTCCCAGCGTTCTGGGAGTTTGAAAATTCCCCTTCTGTAGAATTCCATTTCAGCCATCCAAAGACACTGACGCACTGCTTTCTGAATTCAGTGTGCATGGGTGAGAGCATTGTTCAAAGATGGGTGAAACATTTTAAAGATGGGAACACCAGCATTGAAGATGAGCCTCGGAGTGGTTGTCCTTGAACAGCCTCAACTGAACGCAACAAGGAAAGAGTGGATGAGATCATTGAAGATGACAGGCGTGTGACTGTGGACACAACAGCCCGAAAACTTGGAATAGGGCACAGTGCAGTACAGGAGATTATTGAAAGCTTGGGCTATAGGAAAGTTTGTGCTTGTTGGGTCCCGTGGTTATTGACTGAAGATCACAAAGGTCACATTGGAAGCAACTGCAAAGATGGACTGGGAAGTTCTTCCACACCCCTCCTATAGCCCTGATCTGGCACCCTCCGACTACCATCTTTTCGAATGTGTGAAGGAACAGGTGCGTGGACAATGTTTTCAGACAAGGGAAACAATTCAGAAAGCAGTGCGTCAGTGTCTTCGGATGGCTGGAATGGGATTTTACAGAAGGGGAATTTTCAGACTCCCAGAATACTGGGAGAAATGTGTACAAAGAAGTGGTAATTATGTGGAAAAATAAAGAAAGGTATGTAGATTGAGGTGGTGGATTTGGTTTGTCAATAATAAAGCATGTTACTTTACAAAAAATTGTTGGTCATGACTTTCAGTACGACCCTCGTATTATTTGTGATTTTTTTGTGCAAAGTTTAACCCTTGCAAAAATGCCCCTGAAGAAAAAGCCACAAAAAGACAGCCATAAGAGAATAAAAATAACCATAGAAATGAAATGTAAAATCATTGAAAAGCGAGAACGAGGTGTGAGCAGAGCTGATCTAGCACACACATACAATCGGTCTACATCAACGATTTGCTCTATCCTCAAGAACAAGGACAAGATTAAGGAGATAGATGTTTCAAAGGGAGTGACAAGAATATCTACACAATGGTTATGTATTCTCGATGATGTTGAAAGGTTGCTCCTCATATGGGTAAACGAAAAGCAATTGCAAGGCGACACTATTAACGAGAACATCATTTGTCAGAAGGTGAAAGTGATTTTCGCCGACCTCATTAAGAAGACGCCAGGATCATCAACGGCCGAAGAAGCATTTAAGGGAAGCCGTGGGTGGTTCGAGAAGTTTAAGAGAAGAACCGGCATCCACAGCATTGTAAGGCAAGGCAAAGCAGCAAGCTCTGACACAAAGGCAGCAGAGAGCTTCATCGGCGATTTCAAGGAGCTCTTAGATTCTGAGGGTTACCTGCCACAACAGGTTTTTAATTGTGACGAGATGGGTCTCTTCTGGAGAGACGCCCAAGCGAACCTATACAACAGCAGAGGATAATGCATTGCCCGGCCATAAGCCAATTAAAGACTGTCTCACACTGCTATTTTGTGCCAATGCAAGCGGCAATTTGAAATTTAAACCGCTGCTTGTTTACCGTTCAGAAACTCCATGAGCCTTCAAGAAGTGTAAAGTCCAGAAGAGCAGGCTAAATGTGATGTGGAGGTCCAACAACAAGGCTTGGGTGACACGTGACCTTGTTACTGATTGGATCAATGAAGTGTTTGGTCCTTCTGTGAAAAAATATTTGCTTGAGATGAATCTGCCACTCCACGTCTTGCTTGTTATGGACAACGCTCCTGCCCATCCTCCAGACAAGATGACCTCCTTGAAGAATTTAAATTCATCAAGATGCAGTTTCTGCCTCCCAACACCACTCTGTTACTCCAGCCTATGGACCAGCAGGTTACTTCTAACGTTAAGAAGCTGTACACTAAAGCACTCTTCAGCATTGTTTTGAGGTGACTGAAGGGACCAATCTCACTCTCAGAGAGTTTTGGAAATATCACTTCCACATTGTTGCCTGCCTCAAGATGATCGACAAGGCGTGGGAAGGGGTTACCAAGAGAACCCTCACTTCTGCTTGGAAGAAGCTTTGGCTGGAGAGTGTTGTTGAATGTGACTTTAAGGGGTTTGAGATAGTACCTGTGGAGCCTGTAGTCAACGAGATTGTGTCTTTGGCCAAGATAATGGGGCTGGAGGTGGATAACAATGATACTGATGAGCTTGTGGAAGAGCACAGCCAAGAGCTGACCACTGAAGAGCTTATGGAGTTGCACTGTGTTTCACAGCAAGAAGCTGTGGAGGAGAGTTTGTCAGAGGAGGAGGTAACAGCAAAGCAACAATCTTCTGACATAATAATAGAAATGCTGAAAGCACGGGAAACTGTTGCATCGTACATTGAGAAGTCACCCTAATAAGGCAGTGGCTATGCGCGCTACAAATTTATTTAATGATAATGCTATGTCGCATTTTCACCAAATTTTGAAGCGTCGGCAAAAACAAATGTCTCTGGACAACTTTCTAGTAAAAAAAGAATTAGATATGTATCATAAATAACAAACTAATTATTTCCATTTTTTTCTGCAAATCGAATTCGCATTCCAGGTTGGTTCATTCCGCATATAAGATAAGATGAAGATGATTCACGCTCCTTAACAATGTATATATAATTTTCTTTGAATAAACGTTATACATAACATTTTTTTTTGTATTTTTTCGGCATGGAATGCATTATCGTATTTTACATTAATTTATATGGGAAAAATTGCTTCGCTTAACGAGTGTTTCAGATTACCAGTAAGATTCTGGAACGAACTGTGCTCATTAAGTGAGGTGCCACTGACTGAATATCTATGTCCCTTCTCAAACAATAAATCTGAAGGGGGTTGTCATAAGATTACATCAATTGTGCACTTGACAGTGTGAGGCAATCTTTAAGAGGATCACAAAACACGATCTTGAAATTCAAATACATAATAGTATTAAACATCAGACATCTGTGATCAAAAGGCAACTACCCTTTCTTCAACTAAATTGAATTTGGCTGTAAATATACGTTAAGTCACGTTTCGTAACCATATTGGTTCTTCCACAACATACTTCCTGAAATTAATTTCTTCAAATACCATATTAAATGTTAATACCTGTAGTGTAATCATGCACTTCGATTGAAGAATAAAAAGTCTTCAAAATCTGCGATTATTGAAAGTAGTGGAGTTTAAACAATACATATAACTTCCTCCAACAAACACTCTACCAGCCGACTTACACCAGTAACGGTAGCAACCCTCCTTCGCACCGTCGGCAACGTCGGCAATTGCCGCAATTACTTCCTGCCTCTTCTTTTGTGGGAGTGGTATGCGCAGTAGCCGATTACGCAGGTCTCAAATTTCTCCAACTCAGTGGTCATAATTTTCATTTCATGCATCCTGTTGTGTTATAACATACAACTTCTTTATTAAAACCGTCACAAGACAACTAGGCACTGACTTTGATATAGTTGTGTTGTGAACGTTGTGACAATTTTAATAAAGAAGTTGCCATTGGTAATAATTCTCACCCTTCTTACTACAGTGCTCTCTGGCTGTAGCAGCCGGTACCAGCTACCACGGAACCCTACAGCCAATAACGAGCGTAACGAGGTAACGAGGTATCACTACTAATTATCACACACCCGTTGGTAACGGCAATTAAATGCTCCGTTTTAAAGTAAACGTATTGTCACCTGTTGGGTATATGTCACGCGACAAATAACTTCAAGACGTATTGGATATAGCGAATATTCAACTCGCTCTTATACTTACATAGTTTACAATTTTACAACTACTGCCATCTGCAGTATCACACTTCTCCTGCTGGAGTCTCTGCCATGCACACGATTCAACCCGACTCGGCGACTGCTAGATTGCAACTGGTTGGTTACCCTCTTTCTAGCTCTCTAGTAGCTCTAGTAACTCTGATTACACTCAAAGTCAAATTGCGACTGACGGTTAGTCAGTCAGTAAGTTTTGGTGTCGAGCCCCATTTGGTGCTAATGACCAGATGTTAATTATTACCGTTTGACAGTTACGGTCTTGTTTCTGTAGGGAGCCTTCTCTGATGAGAGGACGGGTCTGTCTTTTGTATATGCTGCTGGCCCTTGCCAGCGCAGTCTTTCTCGGGTCCGAGTCCCTTGGGACTCGCGACCATATTTTACTGTCTCCGAATTGAGACTTGAGAGAGAGAGAGAGACACACACACACACACTTACGGATCATCTTCAGAGGGAACATCAATACTTATTCGGAAACCACATCACAGCAGGTGTTCTGATTGCTAAATTACATACACACATAATACTTGGAATACACAATGTACACAATATTCAACTTTTCACAATCATAGCAGCCTTCCTGGTATTAAAACTTTTAAAGTGTTTAAAAAATTTAGCTTACCTGGACTTAAATATATTTAATAGACGAGGACAAATAGAAATGGAAATATACAGAAAACCCACAACGACAGACATAACAATAAATAATAAATCATGCCACCCTAAAGAACAAAAATTGCCAGCATATGAAAATTGGATACACAGATTTCTTAGACTGCCCCTTGAGGAAAATGCTGAAAACAAAGAATTAAATACTATTATTAATATAACACTAAATAATGGCTATAGAAAGGAAGACATCACACATCTATATAACAAACTTAAGCGAAAGATGGGTAACCCGGATAATAAAGACGAAAAAGAACAAAATGGGTCACTTCTACTTATACTGGAAATTACATACGAAAAATCACAAAACTATTCAAAAACACTAACATAAAGATAGCCTTCAAAACAGCCAACACAATATGTAAACTAATAAATGAAAAACGAGAAATAAACCCCTACGAACAAAGTGGGATATAGGAAATAACATGCCAAAGTTGCCAAAATGTATACATCGGCCAAACTGGTAGAAATCTAACAAGATACAAAGAACACATAAGAAACATAAGACTAAACAAGGACGAATCAGCATTTGCCCAACACATACTAAATAAACACCATCAGACGGGCCGCTGACAGTAATCATGGTAATTATTGAAAAAGCCCAAAAAAAGAGGCATCATTAATGTAAATTAATTGATAGAAGAACAAGAACACACAAAAGAAAGTAATAGCGAACGTAACATGTTCGACCTCATAATACATCAGAACACGCCCACCCTCTCACTCTAATAGTGGCTCCTTGGTCCTCCACTGGTTACACTGACGAATACTCCTTGTTATGTAGCTATCGCACTGACAACACAGAAAACAGTTACGTGATAATAACCACTGTTGCGTAACGTCGTGTTTACAGGCGTTGCTGGGGAACGCTGCCGAGAATTGTTAATTGCTGTGTAGTAACCGCGGTGTCCCCTGTTACGTCACTGTGGGAAGTGCTGTTAAGTTACCACGGGGAGGGGGACGGAGTGTTGACTGGCCTGTTACTGTAGCAGCGGCAGTTGCTCCGATGCTGTTAAGTCACCGCTGGAGAGGGGTAGGGTGTTTACCGAGCGTTTCGCCGTCCAAGTCACAGTATGAACTGGACGATCTGGACATGGTGTGGGATTGTTGATGCTTGAAGAGACAACCCTGTATTAAATTTCGATACAAATATTTATTGCTGCTATAAAGAACATCTCCAAGAGGGGATATGATACAATTAGGAGGGAAGTATTGTACAATATTCTCATATACTCTGGGGTACTCATGAAACTAGTTAGGCTCATTAAAATGTCTTAAACTGAAACGTATAGCAAAGTCCGTATACGTAAACTGGGTGCGAAACTTGGTCTCTGACATTAAGGGAGGAACATAGACTGAGGGTGTTTGAGAACAGGGTGCTGAGAAAAATATTTGAATCGAAGAGAGATGAATTGATGGGAGGTTGCATAAAACTGTATAATGAGGAGTTTCAAACATTGTACTCTTCCCCAAATATAATTAGAGTGATCAATTCAAGGGCGATGAGGTGGTCAGGGCATGTAGCACGAATGGGAGGAAGAGGAACGCATATAGGATATTGGTGGGAAAGCCAGAAGGAAAGAGAGCAATGGGAAGATTAGAGCGTAGTTGGGTGACGATAGGATTTGCTGGTATGGACTGGATCGATCTGTTTCAGGATAGAGACTAGTGGATGGCTCTTGTGAACACGATAATGAACCTTCAAGTTCCATAAAATGCTGGGAAATTCTTGAGTAGCTGCACAATTGGCGGCTCCTCAAGAAGGGCTCAGCTCTGTGAGTGACTGATAGTGAACATACGAACGAGCTTACAACAGTCTGTCGTGCATTCGTTAGTCGGTGCTTAGTAGCGCTTCAGGCGGTGGAAATTCCTTCGCTTCTGTACTGTCTTCTCGGTATAGTCATAGGTGCGGCTGCTGCTATCGTCAAAGTCACATTACAACTGACAGTCAGTCTTTCTGTCTTGGTGTCGAGCCCCACCCGGAGCTCATGATCGGATATTTCTTAATGTTTGAAATTTACCGTCTTGTCCATGAGGGAGCCCTCTTTGACAAGAGGAAGGAACTATCGTTTATCAGAGTCACAGTGAGAAGTATTGGTCAATTGTCAATATGCACAATTATTTACATCTTACTTCTTACCAAACTCTTGTATATGCAATATATAGAAGGCATCTGTCAGTCCAGGGTCAGTACAACAGATTATGCTCTATTTCTAGTAGCTTCCGCTACGACTGCAGTATAGTAACTTGAACGGTGGTATGCTTGACAGCGGCTAAGTTTAAATCTCTTATATTTTCTGTGTCGGGCTTTGCCTTGTCCATTGTCGCTAACATTTTCATTATCGTGAAGCTTGGGGGCACACGGTAGCGTAGTTTGTTTAGGCACTATGCTACAAGCCGGAAAGTTGCGGGTTTGAGTTCCGATGATGTCGATTTTTTAATTTACCTAATCCTTCCAGCCGCATTATGGCCCTGGTGTCGACTCAGTACCAGGAATCTTCCTGGGGTGTAAAGGGGGGCCGACGCGTAAGCCTTCACTGCTCCCTACCCTGAGTCAGGTCAACCCAATCCACACCACCCCACCCTATCTCTCTAAGATCCATTTTAATATTGTCCACCCATCTACGCCTCGGTCTTTCAAGTGGTCTCTTTCCTTCTGGCTTTCCCACCTATATGCTTTCCTCTTCTCCCACATTCATGCTACATGCCTTGCCCATCTCATTCTCCATGACTTGATCATTCTAATTATACTTGGAGAAGAGTACAAGTTATGAGCTCCTCATTATGCAGTTTACTCCAATCTCCTGTCACTTTATCTCTCTTCGGTCCAAATATTCTCCTTAACACCCTGTTCTCAAACATCCTCAGTCTATGTTCCTTCTTTAATGTCAAAGAACAAGTTTCACACCCATACAGAACCACAGGCACATTCATGCTACATGCCTTGCCCATCTCATTCTCCATGACTTGATCATTCTAATTATACTTGGAGAAGAGTACAAGTTATGAGCTCCTCATTATGCAGTTTACTCCAATCTCCTGTCACTTTATCTCTCTTCGGTCCAAATATTCTCCTTAACACCCTGTTCTCAAACATCCTCAGTCTATGTTCCTTCTTTAATGTCAAAGAACAAGTTTCACACCCATACAGAACCACAGGCAAAATTATAGTCATGTACACTCTAATTGTTGCTACATCAGTTAAGTTACCAAATCAATAACACAAAAACGTATGAAGGAGAAATAAATACGTGTATGTTGCGAATTCTAGGCCACGGAAGTTGTGTTGAACAAAGACTGAAAAAAGTGTACTATCATCTGGGATATAACATCGTGAATTCCGTTGAAAATCAAGGTTGCTTTCCACCTGATGGTTTCTTGCTCGGATTATTCTTTGATCTTGAAGATGGAGGTGATATGTTCCTCCGAAAAGTCCGTTGACTTTTACGGATTACACCGCGTTATATCCCAGATGGTAGTACTCTTCATAACCACCGCTATAAGAACCTCAAATCCTACAGAGCACTACTGAGACTGGACAAAGCTAAATCTTATTCTTGGACACGTAATGAAAGATCTTTCCGCCTCGGTGTGATCCAAAAGTGTTGCCGGTCGACGGTTTACGAGGTGTTAAATGAAAACTGCCGGTGTAAGCGGTTTGGGCGAGGGCTTACAAAGGAAACTGGCAACCGCAACGCAACTGCAGTTTCCTTGGTGTGCCCTCTCCCATAGAATTCTGGAGCGTTCGGGCGGTACCAGATTATTGGTAGTGGTCCGTGTCATAGTTGTCCTAAAGTACAAGGCGCGCGCGTACGCACGCACACACGCACACACACACACACACACACACACACACATATATATATATATCGTTAATTAGCAGCACGAATCATACTGAAGATACTGAATGCAAATCACCACCATGCTACCCTTGTCATTACTACATAATTTCAACTGGCATTCTATTGCCTAGCAACCGTTTGTTTAATGTTACTGCATTTTGGTTTGTAAATGGTGGTATTGTTGCATTTCATTCAAGTGCGTGCAATTCCCGCTAGGGCAATGATTGAAACGCAGGTTTTGGGTTTGAATTAATAGTGAACGAAAATTTAGAGACATAAAATGCTAGTAAAGGTCTTTAACGTCTCTGTAGAACTGGACGTCCATGCGGTGAGTAGGTTAATATACGTAAAGAACATCTCCCAGAGAGTTGATTCGTTGGGTATTTAACGATGCAGTATCAACTACTGATGTGAAAGTACAGAACGTACTAGCGCTGAATGAAATCGGAGATTTAACTACTCTGTTGTATGAGTAAGTCATGCTTATACTTTTTTAACTACTTCAGATAGCGTTTATTGGACATGCTTCAAGTGAGAGCCATCACATTGAAGGTTCACTAGTAATTAAGGTTCCCAGACGTTTTTTTCAAGATGGTATGTTATGCAGTACATGCATGATATGAAATTTGATGTTTTATGGTGGCAACAGTTCACATGGGTCATTATAAAATTTATAATTTTTATGAGTTATGTCATTGAAGCCAGCACAGATAGTAGACAGAAGCGATTTTAAATATGGGTCCATATGTTAGTTAAAATGGTTACAATTTAAAGTAAGTATTACATCACCTGATGGTGGAAACATGTAGGGATTTTGAATAAACATTTGAATGGGTATACATTTTTAGAGCTGCATAGATGGAACGCTGCAAGTAGATTACTCATTCACTTTGTACATTGTACATTGTTTCTGTAACCATTTCAAAACTTCTTCATCTGTTGGAGTGCTTTCCGTCCTGTTACAGCCTTTTCATATTCAGTCATTTGAATGTCATAGCCTCTTAACCAAACAATGGGCAGAATGAATGCTGCCAGACAGCAGTAATATTTTAATCCTGCATATGAATGTGCACAGAATGGCTATGACCTGGGCTGCTTTATACTGGATCAGATCACATAATGTGTACAAATCATAAGTTCAGACTTAAATATGAATGCAGATTGTAAACAATTTAAACTGCAAGTCAGCAGTTTCCGGGTTCCTGTTCTTTGCACAGAGTAGAGTAGGAAATAAGGGCAGGGGGGCATATATTTTCCAAAATATCTCGCGAGATACAAAAAAGAAAATTTTGGTGTGATTTTCCTGGTCATACTATTCTGCTAAATCTTTAAAGATTAAAGTAATCCTGACATTTCTGTTTTATTTTATTGTCAAGTCACTGTTGTGGTTTCAGGCCCTATATACCATGTATTCTGCTATTTACTGGGAACAAAGTATGCCCGTACGACTCATCAGGGAGGAGAAGTTTGTATATACATAATCCATCGCACTTCGCTGACACCTAGAACAGACACCCCATTCTTCTCCATTTCCGTTTTCAAATTCTCCAATTATACATAAGATCAGATATAAAATTTAATGCTATAAATCTATCACAGTTCTGTGATGAAAAGAACATAGAAATTTGTACACTTAAGATTTCTTTAGCTAAAACTAACATATTTGTACTGTGTATATATAGGTCACCTTGTGGGAATTTTGAGTACTTTATAAATAAGTTGGATAAAGTACTCAAATTACTCTATAAACCAAAAAATGAATTTATATTATGTGGTGATTTTAATGTAAACTTTTTAGAAGAGTACTCGTAAAACACAGCTATTAGTGCTGTTGCAATCATATAATATATTTCATACAGTACAGTTCCCAACAAGAATAACTGAGACCAAAAGCCCTGCTATTGATAATATTTTTATAGATAAGGAAAGGATAAATTCAAATGAAGTAATCTCTATTAGTAATGGACTATTTGATTATGATGCTCAGTGTCTTGTACTAAAAAATATCAATTTCCTGGCAAAGAAAAAAGTGCAGGGAATCACAAGAAGATTAGCAAATGAAGATTCAATTGCTCAATTTCTTAATAAACTATCTAACGAAAAATTGGATAATATATATAAACTAAACGATGTAAACGAAATATTCAACGCATTTTTAAATAAGTATTTACTTGTCATTGAATCATGCTTTCCAAAGCAAAATGTAACAAATAAACTCAAGGATAATGGCTGTATAACAGCTGGTATATGTACATCCCGTAGATGGAAGGAATCCTTGTTCATTCTCTGTCAAAACAATTACAACTATTTGTTTAAATCATACTATAAATCCTTCATGATATTAAGATGATTAATAAGAGAAGCTAGAAGGAAATATTATAATCAGTTAATCACATCAGCTGAAAACAAAATAAAAACTACCTGGAACATTATCAACATTGAAACAGGTAGGACTAACAATCAGAATAATGAATGTCTACCACAGACTTTTCAAAATAATAATAAATAAATAAATACTGAAGAAGCAGCTCATAGTTTTAATAAATATTTTACAAGAATTACAGAAAATCTTAATATTAAGAAAACTAATATTTATACTACAGTGTCATACTTGCATTCCCATTTCTCAGATGGTATTCCAGATATGAATCTTAATTTAGTTTCAGAAGAGGAAATAAATAGTATAATTAGCAAATTAAAATTAAAAAACCCTTCAGGGTGTGATGGTGTAAGAAATAAAATTATAAAACTGCAGACAACAAATCAGTAAACCTCTAACTTACGTAATTAATAAGTCATTAACCATGGGTCTATATCCAGAAAGATCAAAATATGCAATTATTAAGCCAGTATACAAAAAAGAGGGGAAAAGGCTGTTATAAGTAACTACAGGTCAATATCTATAGTAAGTGGGTTTGAAAAAGTTTTTGAAACAGCAATTTTTAGAAGACTTAATGATCATTATACCTAAATTAAATGCAGCTTGCTATGCGATGAGATCAATTAAGCCTTTTATGTCACAGGAAACATTGAAGATGGTTTACCATGCCTACTTTCATTCTATTATGAACTATGGATTAATATTTTGGGGGAACTCTTCACATAGTGTAATAATTTTTAAAATACAAAAGAATATAATTAGAATCATTACAGGATGTAGAAGTAGAGATTCATGTAGAGAATTATTTAAGAAATTAAAAATTCTACCTCTT